TTGATTTTTCATCAACGGTCAACCCTTCTCTTTCTATTCATGGCTTCTTCAAAACACTCTTCCTCTTACTCTGATGGTGTCTTTCTTAGCAAGACTAAGTTTGAACAACTTCAGAGACTTTTGACTCAACCTCCTAAGGCCACTAGTCATGTGGTCCAGCAAGGTACAGCTTTCCATGTTGATAGTCAAAATCATTGGATCCTTGATTCTGGAGCCTCTGATCATATGACAGGTAATCTTGGCTTGTTTTGTTCATACACTCCATATTCTGAACCTTCTCGGGTCAAGATCGCCGATGGCAGTTTTTCCCAGATTGCGGGACACGGAACCATTAAACTTTCTGAGCTGATTACTTTGACATCAGTTCTTTATGTTCCTTCTCTGACTTGTAATCTCATTTCTATTAGCAAGCTCACCTCTGAGTTGCATGGCTTTGCTAAATTCTTTCCACACGGTTGTGTTTTTCAGGAACAGGACTCGGAGAGGATGATTGGCAGTGCTAGAGAGGATGGTGGACTTTACTACTTTGAGGAGGATGTGACTCATGAAGCTGTTTTCGTAGAAAAAAACTCTATGTTTCCTTTTGATTCATGTAATGATGTTATGATGTGGCATCGTAGGCTAGGCCATCCAAATTTTATTTATCTTCAGAAGTTGTTGCCAAACTTATTTATTCATAAAAGTCCAAGTTTGTTTTCTTGTGATATTTGTCAACTTGCCAAGCATACTCGTGCTCATTATCCTTCTAAAGTTCACCATGACTCTTCCCCATTTTCCTTAATTCATAGTGACATATGGGGTCCAGCCTGTGTTAAAAATATTTCAGGTACTCGATGGTTCATTACCTTCATTGATGACCATTCTCGAGTCTGTTGGGTGTATCTTCTAAAGGATAAGTCCGATGTTGCATCCGTGTTTAAAAAATTTCATACCATGGTTCAAACCCAATTCCAAGTTGCCATACAAATTCTTCGTACAGATAATGGCAAAGAGTATTTTAACTCTATTCTTGGAGAATATCTTTCCCAACATGGCATCCTTCACCAAAGCTCGTGTCCTGACACACCCCAACAAAACGGAGTTGCGGAAAGAAAAAACCGACATCTCCTTGAAGTTGCTTGGGCTCTTATGTTTACCACGAGTGTTCCTAAATATCTTTGGGGAGAGGCAGTTCTCACTGCCTCGTATCTGATAAATCGAATGCCATCTCGCATTCTGAAATTTCAGTCTCCTCTTTCTAGTCTTGTTCGTATCTTCCCTTCCTTCTGAGGTGTCTCCTCCTTACCTCTCAAGTTATTTGGTTGCGTTGCATTTGTCCATATTCTCTCCCATCAACGGTCTAATCTTGATCCTAAGTCTCTTCAGTGTGTCTTTATTGGTTATTCTCCTACTCAACGTGGCTATAAATGTTATTCACCCTCTCTTCGTAAGGTCTTTGTCTCTATGGATGTCACTTTTTCTGAAAATGACCCTTTCTTCCCCTCGACTTCTCTTCAGGGGGAGATAGGAGTAGATGAAGATCAGTCATGGGAACCTACTGATGCCACGGTATTACCTCTAATTTTGGAAACAGGGGGAGCTACAGATTCCTCACCATCAGGAGCCTCCTCAAAATGGGGACAAGTTTATAGCAGGCGAAAGCCTCCTCAAAGTGTGAATAACCCAGAGCCTCTACACTGCCAGGATTCTGAACCATGTTCTAGTTCCAGCACCCCAATACTTGAGTGTCATGGTGAAAATGATCTACACTTGCCCATTGCTCTCAGAAAAGGTACTCGATCTTGTACTACTCATCCTATTTCTAATCATATTTCATATGGAAAGTTGTCCCCAGGGTTCGTGCTTTCAATACTATGTTGGATAGTACAAAGATACCGAGAAATATACATGAGGCTCTCAATGATCAAAAATGGAGGGATGTTGTCTTTGAAGAAATGAATGCTTTAAAAAGAAATGGAACTTGGGAGATAGTGACCCGACCCAAAGGAAAACAGGCAGTAGGATGCAAATGGGTGTTTACAATAAAATTCAATGCAGATAATAGCATCAACAGATACAAGGCAAGATTGGTTGCAAAGGGTTTCACTCAGACTCATGGGATAGATTATCATGAGACTTTTGCTCCGGTTGCTAAAGTCAATACCATCCGAGTTCTCTTATCTCTTGCTGCCAATCTAGATTGGCCTCTGCAATAGTTAGATGTGAAGAATGCATTCCTAAATGGTGACTTACATGAAGAAGTCTATATGGATCCTCCACCTGGTTTTGAAAAGGGAAATGGATCAGTGTGTAAACTAAAAAAGTCTCTATATGGATTGAAACAGTCTCTCAGAGAATGGTTCGACAAATTCACACAAGCAGTCAAAAGAAGAGGCTTCATTCAAGCACAGACTGATCATACTCTCTTCCACAAATACTCTAAGGATGGTAAAATTGCTATTCTTATTGTATACGTTGATGATATAATTCTTACAGGTGATGATATTGAGGAATTGAACACCTTGAAGAAATTTCTAGCAGCTCAATTTGAACTCAAAGACCTTGGCACTCTCAAATATTTCCTTGGTATGGAAGTTGCTAGGAGCAAAACAGGCATCACTCTAACACAAAAAAAATATGTTCTAGATCTTTTGTTGGAAACAGGAATGTTAGGGTGTAAACCTGCTGAGACACCTGTGGAACCTAATACCAAGTTAGGTATTGAAGATGGGAATGAGGTGGATAAAGAACAATATCAGCGATTGGTTGGTAAACTAATCTACTTATCTCATACGCGTCCTGACATTGCCTTTGCGGTGAGTATGATTAGTCAATTCATGCACTCACCCAAGGAGAAGCATCTTAGTGCAGTCTATAGGGTGCTTAGATACCTCAAGAATACTCCAGGAAGAGGATTATTCTTTAAAAAGGGGTATAAAAGGACAATTGAAATCTACACTGATGCAGATTGGGCAGGCTCATCAGTAGACATGAGATCTACATCAGGCTATTGCACCTATGTGTGGGGAAATCTTGTTACTTGGAGAAGCAAAAAGCAAACAGTGGTTGCAAGAAGTAGTGCTGAAGCAGAATTTCGAGCTTTATCTCATGGAGTTTGTGAAGGAATCTGGTTGAGAAGACTTCTTCAAGAGTTGAAGATTTCATATTCCCTACCAATAAAACTATATTGTGACAACAAGGCAGCTGTTAGCATTGCTCAAAATCCTGTGCATCATGATCGAACAAAGCACGTGGAAGTTGATCGTCACTTCATCAAAGAAAAATTAGATGATGGAAGTGTGCGTTTGATATATGTTCCAACCAAAGAGCAAACGGCAGATATCCTTACCAAGGGCCTACACCGTCCAGCATTCGAAGACTTGATTGGCAAGTTGGGAATGATCAATATTTACCTCCCAACTTGAGGGGGAGTGTAGAAAATCAGAATCCAAACATGTTTCCGTTTTTATTTCCTATTAATTAGGATTGATTATGATTGATTAGGATTGATTGTGATTGATTAGAATTGATTGTGATTAGGATTGATTAGTCATCGCTTAGTCATTCTTAGCGATTCTTTCTTGTATAAATACTCACTCATGTAAATTATTCAAAATCAATATAAAGAAACTTCTTTTCAATAATATTCAAGTGTGATGAGTCCCACATTGGTTGGTAATGAGCTAAGTGAAGAGTATATAAGTGAAAGGACCCATGAACCCAATGCCTTAAGGTTTTGGGTTGAGACATGGTGTCGGATCCACTTGCTACGGTTGGTGTAGCCTTAGCTCATTGGTGGTGGCCCCCGCCACGGGCTTCCCCTGGACCCGCTTGATATTGGAGTTTGAGGGAACGAATTTCCCAACAGTGGTATCAGAGCCGAATTGGGCTCGAGCTAGCCTAGTGATTGGCTAGGAGGCGGGTCGAGTACTTTGCGCTTCGGGTACTCGGTTGAGGGGGAGCATACCAATGGTGGGTTTCACACTTGAGGGGGGGATTGTTGAGATATTCAAGTGTGATGAGTCCCACATTGGTTGGTAATGAGCTAAGTGAAGAGTATATAAGTGAAAGGACCCATGAACCCAATGCCTTAAGGTTTTGGGTTGAGACATGGTGTCGGATCCACTTGCTACGGTTGGTGTAGCCTTAGCTCATTGGTGGTGACCCCCGCCACGGGCTTCCCCTGGAACCGCTTGACATTGGAGTTTGAGGGAACGAATTTCCCAACATTATGAACTTCAAATATATTTTGCAGGTTGCCACAATGTATGCAGTCATGTGAGATACAGATTACATGCAGAAAGATACGTTCAAGGAAAATTTCTGGAATGACTGGCGAAAGATGCTAGGAAGAAATCATGTAATTCAGAACTTGAAAGATTGTGATTTTACCCCAATTTATGACTGGTACCAAAGTGAAAAAGAAAAGAAGAAGCAAATGACTACGGAAGTAAGTTGGTAACTCGGTATGCTTAATTTCATTTGACAATAATAGAAGTTGATATATTAGAGCATTGTTTGCTTTTTAATTGGATTTTGGGTTTGCTTCCAATACATACAAGCAGGCATTTGTAGATATGAGATATGATTTTGACTTTAGCTGGTGCAGTTTTTTATTGTCCTAATAATAGAGTACTGCATGTCGTTGACCATACTGCAGATTTCATTGATCTTACAAAATATATATTATGAGTTTGTTGATTTGCTAACAACTTTCAGAAGGCAGTAGAGAAAACACTAGGTCATTTTGTAAGGTACCTAGTAAATTTTGCCCCTCCTCATGAGGCTTTTGTTTTTGTATCTTTTTGATACTCAATGGTAGTTATTTATGGGTCACGTGTGTAGCTTGAGAGATGAAGAGTTGGTGTTTGGTTGATGCAAAAAATTCTGCAGATAGTTAGTTATCTTTACCATGTTCTGTGAACCCCTAGAGGGTAGATGGTTGTTGTTTACATTTGTCTGCTACTGGACTGGAAATTCTGCATCATCTTGTTTGGTGATTGTGTTAGTGCTCGGATGAAATGTATCAAACATGCAAGATTAAATTGTCATTTCATTTCCATTTGATATGGTTGTAATGTAAATTCTAAGTGGTATCCTGGTGGAGTTTTACCTTTTATCAAAGTGTTGGTCACACAAGAGTGTTTCTTTCCATAATTGGCATGGTAAAGACACTAGATGGATACCACCCAAACAAAAATAAAAATATGAAGCCTCATGAATAGGTTTAGTGATTTATCTCTGTTTACTGGGATAGCCTCCTCTTGTGTGATATGCTAATATGACTTGCTTTTTCCTTTTCCTTCTTTAACTACCTTAATTAAATTTATATTGCTGCTTTTCCCTATCTATTCCTTCAGCTTTCCTTTCTTTTTTCGAGACAAACTTGATTAAAGAAAGCATAAGAATGGGATACAATGATTTTGGAGACTTTTACTATGCTCATGGTCAATTGGGGGATGCTTTTAAAAGTTATCCGTACGCGGGATTATTGCACCACATCAAAGCATATTATTCATATGTGTATGAGTGTGATTCTGGTCAGCATTGAGATGGGTCAATTTCCTCATGTTACAAGCTACGTTGGCAAGGCAGAACAGGTACCAGAAGCCCTTGACCCAATAACGGTTGCAAAGCTACGATGTGCTGCAGGATTGGCAAATCTAGAGGCCAAAAAGTACAAGCTTGCTGCCCGAAAGGTCTGTTCCTTATCTCTTTATATGGCAAAGTTTTCTGTTCCTTATCATGCTTTGGATGTCAACAAATTGTTATGAAATGTTCAATATTGTTTATACACGGTTACTTATTGCATCAAAATCAGTCTTTAAATAATGAAGCGAAAAGATTGCAAGTAAGATTAATTTAATGTAATTCTATTATATTATAATATTAGTTTACACGTGGTTCATTAATAAATGCTGCCGTGATAGTAGTATTGCTTGAAAAGCATTCGGTACATTTTTTTGTTGTCGTTGCCAATTGAGTTGTGTAATGAATTCTGCGATATGAGAATTTTAAATAAAAGAAAAGGTTGGAAGCCATAGAAAAGCTCTTGAATTCCTCTTCTGAGTCCCTTTTTCTCCACTTTATATAGTTTTTTTTTTTTTTTGGTATGCACTTTATATAGTGTTTATTGTTACGATCTCATTGCAAGGTTTGAGACATGAGTCTCTTGAGTCTCACATTGGAAACATAAGATTATGGTATGCGGTTTATATGGATTTTGGATTTTCCTACCATGCGAGCTAATTTTTGAGGTGAGATTCTTGTAAGTTTCGCATCAATTAATATCAAAGCTGGTATAGGACTGAACCCATATTAAAAACACAAGGTTTTAGACTCATCTATTAATTTGTAAATTTTGTAATTCTGTCTTTAATATCTAACATCCAGCGTGGAGTTTTAGACTCATCTATTAATTTGCTTTACTTTAAAATAAATTTTTCACTTTGCCTCCGCTGACATCTACATGCAAGCCGAGGCTCTCTTCCGTATTTCTGAATTTTGGGGTTTGCGAATGTCCTTATTTCTTTCTTCTTATTTTTGGTAAGCTTATTTTTTTTTTAATACATTTTGTTATGCTATAACAGCTATCTTTTGCAATATGCTTCTTAATGGGCAAAGCATATGAAACATGCGTTGCTTTTGAAGTAATGGTAATGATAAAAGGGCTGATTAATTTTTAGTTTTATCCATTTGCCTTAGCATGGTTCTTATGTTGCTTATACTTCATAATCTTTTGCCTTAGATGGTTCTTATTTATTTTTTAATTTCGGTGTAAATCGTGCAAGCACATCCATATTTCTCTTAGATAAGGGCAACAGAAAGTAGCAGAATGAGGACACAGTAGCTTGATTATCTATGGATCTATAAACTTGAGTTTAAATATTTGGGAATATATTATAATACCCTACCTCGTGCCTTGTATACCTTCTGTTTATTATAGTTTAGTTTTCTTGTGGAGTGTAACAATATTATATTCAGTTGACGAACAATATCATTGCCTGTTGTTGAAAATTATATTCAGTTTTCTCAACCATATTGATTATGTCCTACTTGCTTAATTGTGGTTCTGACTTCCATTTATCTGTTCTGGAACTACAATGTTGCTTTTGGATAACTAGTATTTAGTTATTGTTTTCAAGGAAATCTTAAAAGATTTGACAAGTAAATAATGAATTGGCTAACAAATCAAGTGATGCGCCCAATTTTCAAATTATGATATATAAATCTTTTAACTTTTATATACTGGCAGTCTAAAGTTGCTACAAAATGTGACAAATAGTGTAGATTTAAATCTGCCAACATGATAAAAAAAATTATGGCAGTCTATGACCTCCAGGAAGTTTTAAATGTTGTCGAAGTCTATAAGTGACATTTGTGGGGGTTTAGAACCTCTAGAAAATGATATAACAATTGTGGGGGTTTGGAACCTCCAAAAAATGCAACATGTGGAGGTTTGGAATCTCCAAAAAATACTTAAACAAATTGTGGCGTTGCACACAAAGACGCCACAAAATGTGTTGTGGCACATGCGAAACTGGAGGTTGGTATGAATGCCACAAATATATTTTGTGTGGGTCAAAGACTTCCACAATTTGCAAATCTGACCCCCAAAAAATACCTTAAATTTTGTAGTGAAGGGTATGTGGATCATTGTGCACTAAATAGTACGACGTTAGCCAAGGCATGTGGTGTGTGTACAGTATAAGTAAAGATGAGCCAAAAAAATGTGTACCTGATGGGTATGACTTCTATTTATAATGAGTTACCTGGTTGAGCCTCCACGAAAAAACTAAAGAGTAGGATACTAAAGATTAGGTGAGGATCCATAAAGTATAAACTGTTTTGACACCCCTATCTAGTATAAACTACAAATTAGGGTATGTTTGAATTTGATTTTAGAGTAAATACTCTTTTTCGGTCCTTAGCAAATTTTACGATGCCCGCTTTAATTCCTAGCAAATAAAAAGGCTATTCGTGGTCCCTAAGAAATTCAAAGTGGACTCATTTTAGTCCTTTTGAAAGACTAATGTGGGACTTTTTTGAATTTGTGAGGGACTACGATTTCAACTAAATGGGTCCATTTTGAATTTTTTAGGGACCACGAATAGCTTTATTTGCTAGGGACTAAAGCGGGTATTGTGAAATTTGCTGAGGACCAAAAATGACATTCACTTTTGATTTTATGTTTTAGTTCTTCAAAAATATTTTATAATATAAACTTCTCAAATAAAATAATAAACTTATTTGAATAGAGTTGGATCTTAAAATTAAAAGGAAATTAAATTTATTTATAAAGGTGTTATTAATAAAATATTAGTAAATTTTTAAAATTATAAAATTTACATCGTAAAAATGATAAATATTTACAAAATAGTTCTTTTAAAACAAATTTTAAATAAAACATGCCGTAAGCTTACCCCTTGGGAAAATTCTTTTTTGAGTTAAGCATTTTGTTGTTGATGAAGATCGTATTGAGTGGAATGGAGAGTTATGTTTACATTTGCTCTTTGAATAAGAAATTTAAAGTCTTTGTTGATTGTGTCAAACCTAACTTTCAAAAAAAAATAATAATAATTATGCCACTATTGATAGCCAATTGGTCTACATCAATCTTAATAAGAATCAACTATTCTAAATTTTAGTCTATTATGAATAATATTGTATATTGTATTTTTAATATGTCCGTTTATTTAAGAGCTTTTTAAACATAGAGGATGTACAATGCATAAACTTATGTACCAATAATTTAATTTTAAATTATTTTATTTTAAAGACATAATACTATGACTTCAGTAATATCATAAGCTTGTACAAGAGAGCTAAAGAAGCTTCTAGAACTAAATAATAAAACAATAATAATATAATATTATTTTCAACACTTCCCCTCAAGTTGACTCGTATTATCATAAGCTCCCAGCTTGTTACATATGTAATCTATTCGGGGACCTCTAAGAGCCTTGGTGAAAACATCTGCAAGTTGATCATGGAAATTGACAAATGTTGTATTGATCTCTCCTAACTGAATCTTCTCTCTAACAAAGTGACAGCCGATTTCAATATGTTTGGTCATCTCATGAAAGACTGAGTTATAGGATATGTGCAATGCGGCTTGATTGTTACAAATGAGTTTTGTTATGGACTGGATCCATATCCTAACAACCCTATTACTAGCAATATTGGATAGGGATAAGATTCTTATCACAACCATATAATCTAGAGAGGATCAAGGGATAAGATTCTTATCCCCATCAATCAAGGCAGATTTCATATCAACTGGGAGATCTCAAAGGCCCAAGCCTACGAAGGTAATCCTTCTAAATAAGAGGCCAAAGACCCAGGTACACACTTTGACCTATTTACCATTACTGCACACACTCATGTCTTGGCTACATGCCCATTGATAGTGCGCAGTGATTGGAGTATTGGCTATAAGTCAGTCGGATATCTTTCTCTAAGATATCTCTGAGCGCATACCCATGAGGTATCCTTATACGGTTCAACAGGACCGAACATTGGCGCCGTCTGTGGGGAACGACAAATTTCGACTCTCATCCATGGTAAACACGCACAGTGTAATGCGAAGCTACAGATTGCAGGCTGCCTCGCGACTCTGAAATTGCTGAAACCACATATATATGAGGAGACAAACCCTACTCGCAAAAAGGGCTTTTGATCCTCCGAGAGACTCTAGAATGGAGCTCCAGGTCCAAGCAAGTGACGATTTGATGGACATTCTCGTCATCGCAATTCTTGATGGAGCAAGTGAAGACTTGGAGGTCATTAAATCATAAGAAAAAAGGAACATGGGAATTTTGAATTCTTTATTAAAGGAAGTCATCCCAAATTTTGTGGGCTAGGGAACTGACAGACCATTAATAACCCAGCTTCAATCCAAAAGAGGCCTTAAAATTTAAAAGCCTCAGCGAAAGAAACGAGGCTCAAATTAAAAGACCACGGCGTAAAAAGCAGGGTTCAGATAAAAAAGCCTCGCGAAAGAAGCGGGGCTCAAATTAAAAGACACAGGCATAATAAGCCGGGTTCAGATAAAAAAGCCTCCGCGAAAGAAGCGGGGCTCAAATTAAAAGACCACAGCGTAGAAAGCCGGGTTCAGATTAAAAAGCCTCCGCGAAAGGAACAGGGCTCAAATTAAAAGAGCACGGCGTACAAAGCCGGGTTCAGATAAAAAAGCCTTCGCGAAAGAAACGGGGCTCAAATTAAAAGACCCGGCGTAAAAAGTCAATTTCAAATAAAAAAAGCCTCCACAAAAGTAGCGGGGCTCAAATTAAAAGTCCACGGCGTAGAAAGCCGAGTTCAGATTAAAATGCCTCCGCGAAAGGAACGAGGCTCAAATTAAAAGACCTCAGCGTAAAAAGCCAGGTTCGAATAAAAAGGCCTCCGCGAAAGAACCAGGGCTCAAATTAAAAGACCATGGCGTAAAAAGCTGAGTTCGGATAAAAAAGCCCTCGTGAAAGAAGCGGGGTTCAAATTAAAAGACCACAGCGTAGAAAACCGGGTTCAGATTAAAAAGCCTTCGCGAAAGGAACGAGGCTCAAATTAAAAGACCACGACGTAAAAAATCGGGTTCGGATAAAAAAGCCTCCACAAAAGAAACGAGGCTTAAATTAAAAGACCACGTCGTAGAAAACCGGGTTCAGATTAAAAAGACTTCGCTAAAGGAACAGGGCTTAAATTAAAAGACCACGGCGTAAAAAGTCGGGTTCAGATAAAAAAAGCCTATGCGAAAGAAGCAGAGTTCAAATTAAAAGACCACGGTGTAGAAAGCTGGATTCAGATTAAAAAGTCTTCGCGAAAGAAACGAGGCTCAAATTTAAAGACCACGGCGTAAAAAGCTGGGTTTGGCTAAAAAAGCCTCCGCGAAATAAACAGGGCTCAAATTAAAAGACCACAGCGTAGAAAACTGGGCTCAGATTAAAAAGCCTCCGCGAAAAGAACGAGGCTCAAATTAAAAGACCACGACGTAAAAAGCCGGGTTCAGATAAAAAAAGCCTCTGCGAATGAAGCGGGGTTCAAATTAAAAGACCACGGTGTAGAAAGTCAAGTTCAGATTAAAAAGCCTTCGCGAAAGGAACTCTGCTCAAATTAAAAGACCACGGCGTAAAAATAGGGGTTTGGATAAAAAAAGCCACCGCGAAAGAAACGGGGCTCAAATTAAAAGACCACTGCGTAAAAAGTCGGGTTCGGATAAAAAAAACCTTCGCGAAAGAAGCGGGGCTCAAATTAAAAGACCACAACGTAGAAAACCAGGTTCAGATTAAAAAGCCTCTGCGAAAGGAACGAGGCTCAAATTAAAAGACCACGGCGTAAAAAGTCAGGTTCGGATAAAATAGCCTTCGCGAAAGAAGCGGGGTTCGAATTAAAAGACCACAACGTAGAAAATAGGGTTCAGATTAAAAAGCCTCCACAAAAGGAATGAGACTCCAATTAAAAGACCACGGCATAAAAAGCCAGGTTCGGTTGAAAAAATCCTCTGCGTAAGAAGCGGGGTTCAAATTAAAAGACCACAGCATAGAAAGTCAGGTTCAGATTAAAAAGCCTTCGCGAAAGGAACGAGGCTCAAATTAAAAGACCATGGTGTAAGAAGCGGGGCTCAAATTAAAAGACCACAGCGTAGAAAGCTGGGTTCAGATTAAAAAGCCTGTGTGAAAGGAACGAGGCTCAAATTAAAAGATCACGGCGTGAAAAGCTGGGTTCAAATAAAAAAGCCTCCACGAATTACGTGGCTCAAATTAAAAGAACACAACATGGAAAGCCAGGTTCGGATTAAAAAGCCTCCGCGAAAGAAGCGAAGCTCAAATTAAAATACCACGGCATAAAAAGCCGAGTTCAGATTAAAAAATCCTTTGCGAAAGAAACGAGGCTCAAATTCAAAGTCCACGGCGTAAAAAGTCGGGTTCAGATAAAAAAGGCCACCAAGGGCTTCAAATTTACGAGCTCGGCCTCAG